CACACACACACACACACACACACACACACACACACACACACACACACACACACACACACACACCTGTCCTCATCTAATCCAGTAGTGCTGTATCTTTACACTGCAGCTGTCTGATAGTTCCCCAGGGTTCAGCGGTGTGGGCGAGAGTTACCGACCTGGAAAAATAGATCACACCGAGCACTCGCTTATAAACTGTTGAGTCACAGCAAAGCCTTGAATTATTTCATCCAGAAAAAAAAAAAAAAGCACCTGAGGCGGTCAGCTTAGAATCCCACTAGGAAATGCACATCACCCACCAGGTTTTGTGCCGAGGTTTTAAACTAAATATCATAAACATGTTCTGTATGTGTTATGTGAATGACTCTCAGCTACTACCACACACAGTTTTAGCTCACGCTTTGTAAAACTGATGGAGTTAAAGGGGACACGTGCAAAATCGACTTCAGCCATTAAATGCATCTTGCTGTGTACTTGGAGTCTCTAAGAGTGCAGAAAAGTGTAGTTTCTCCCGCTCTATAGTCCACTGTGGAATCTGCAGGGGTGGGGTGGGATGCGCTTTGTTTGGATTTTAAGAGACAGCCTCGAAACGAGTTGATCTGAGARGCAGCTCAGAAAATGTGTGAAGGAGGGGCTTGTGGAGTTACAACAAGGATGAATTCAAACTGCGGTTCCACTTTATATAGACTCCAACTGAATGATTTAAATGTGAAAAAGAAGACATGAAAGCAGGTTTTTTTTTGTGCTGGCCATCTTAGCAAGTGATCCATTTCTCAAAGTTCTGTTGAAACCTGACCGGTGGTTCACAGTTCATCCAGGTTTAACCATCAGGAGGGACTGAATGGTTTTCTGCTCCTGCCTTCCACTTAAACCCTGTTTCCACTGTTAATGTTTAGCAGACTGTGTGTGAAACTCAAACACCCTTTTTTCCTGGTGGTAAACACACTGATTGGTCACCAGTCTGGTTTAAAAAAAAAAGGCCAGTGTATGACCCCTCAACTGCACTGCCAGTAAGAGGAGGGACTACTTCTCAAGGCTGTGGGGACAGAAGTGTGTTCCTAACCATGTCAATCCAATAAAGCCACTCAAGCCTGAGAACAGCTAATCCCACCACCAGGGGTAGGTGGAGGGTGGGAGGGGGTCAGTCCTGTTCATGGAAACCAGGGCCTCACTTCTTTTCCTGGGATGAGACCATGTGAGCAACACGCCGCCGGCCCGGGATGAGAGGGTCACACTCCTCATCCATGACATTGATCAAATTTCACCTGGCTGCTCCGCCTTCCCCTCCTCCTCCACCCCGGCCTGTGAATTTAGAGCTTTGACTGAGGGCTGAGATAAACTGCGCACAGATCTCTCTCTCTCTCTC